CAAGAAGTAACCAACTGTATCAATCATATTTTTATGTATATCTAATGTATAATAATTAATAATTTTGATGGTACAAAATAAAGTAGTTGCTCGAAGATGACGTTCTACATACACATAATCGTTTAATTTTCGCATGAAATCAGGTTCATCACGAAATGTTGTTGTTGATAGGTTCTTATCGACAAATGGTCGTAGTAATTCATTTAGATATTTACCGATTCTCCATGTGGCACTATGTTTCGATGTAATATAGGGTACTAATGAAATTTCATTTTCCTATTTCAAGAATAAAAAAATAAATATACAAAAGATGAAGTACAGAATTAATTCTATATTACTTTAGAAATATCCGGCAAGAAATACAAATATGGTAATTTCACTTTTCTTGCATCAACTAATAATCGATTAAACAGATCGATATTTATTGCTTTATGGTTTTTCAATGATTCCAATAATAAATTAATAGATTCAATCATTTCTTTCAATTGAACTTGCCATTCTTGACCGTCATTGTCTTTATCTTTATTCAATAGCATCTTATAAGCATCTGATTTTGATACATAATCATACGCTTTTGTTTCAAAATCTTGTAGATTTCCCAAATAGAACGTATTCATATTATCAGCAGTTCGTCGTAGGATGAGATTGTTCTCGTTTAAAGAATACCGAATCGATTGAAGAAGATGTTTTTCATAGAGAGCACGCTGTTGAAGATTCGATGATATTGGTACAGAAAAAAGATCTGTAAATTGATCACTTATCTTCTGTTCAATTTCCATCGATAATGCAATATTAATATGATATTTTGAAAATAAATAACTGAGCTGATGCTTTAATGGCGCATATTTCTTTTTAACAATATCATCAATAGATTGACCCGAAGATGATATTGATATTTGACCAGGTGGAACATAACTAGGTCCTCTATTCAGTAATTGTAATTCTTTATCGGATAATTGATGTATAGCATCAATAATTAAAGATGATGAAAATCCAATTCGTTTCATCTTGTCACCATCTGTATTCATATCGGTGGGTTCGACATCACCATAGAAGTTTCGGAAATAACAATTCAGTCTGTAATTGTAGACATCTCTCCATCGATCAGCAATATTGGTCAAACGCTTTTCAATAAGGTTCGTTAATGTTGTAGGCATTCCTTTGTTTTTTACAAGCTCACGATGGTTTTTCCACATAGCAGCTAGTTCGTGATCGAACACTCGAAGACATTGATAGAATTTCATTTCGGCTCCTATTATTTTAATAGCCATAAAATCAAGTTTCTTTAGTTGAATTAATTTTTCATATTTATTCAACAGTATTAGTTTTCTATCGTTATCATTCAATATTGGCATAGTTGTTTCAATGGCATCTAACGAAGAATGTGGTTTATTATAGAAGACTCGATATTTCAATTCTAATAGTTCTCGTTTCGACTTTTCTAGTTCATGTTTTTTTTCAGAAAGATGTTTCATAACTTGAATCTAAACGATAGAAAAAGAGAAAGATATATTATTATTTTAAACATAATATAGATTTTTCTTTTCATTTTTACTTGATATTCATTTGGTTTTTCTTGTAGGCATTGACGTCTCAATATTTCTGAATCATAGTCGTAGTTGATCATTACTATTTTCAAATTCCGTTTCATTTCAAGTGGTTTCACACCATGCTTTTGAACAAAACTTTGAATAGTTTGTTCGATATTCGATGTAAAGTCGATTAAATTGTTTTTCTTTTCGTTAAATTGCTTTATATGATATTGAATTTTTTCATTCATTTCTATTAAACGTTGATGTAAATGTTTTTCACAATCAGCCTGCTGATCTTCTGTAACACTAGCACAAGCCGTAGTTGTTGTTGCTTTATGTTGTGTTAACATAAGTGATTGAACATAGATAGGCCATACACGTCGGTCAACTTCGATGAGATGAGATTCAGATTGTTTTAATGTACCCATTACGGAATGTAGATAAGCTTTCATAATTTCTCTATCTATTCGCACATTAACTGCTCGATGCATGAATAGAGCTAGTTGCTGTATATTATTTATATTAATAGAACTAGCTGTTTTTGTTATAGTTTGCGCCATACGAATAAATGATTTGTTATCTATCGATAAATAGATCGGTATTTCTTTTGTTTCAGTACTACTCATTGCAGTAATAGCAATAGGTTCATCGATCACATCATCATCATCAATAATTTTCGTTTTCTTTGAGCTAACATCTGGACTAGCTATAGTAGTACTTGATCGTCGTTTTTTATGAGTTACACTAGATTTCTGTTCATCTTCAGTCGTTGTTGACAATTGACTAAATTTTTGTGATAGAACAGCTTCCGATTGTATTCCCTGAAGGACAAAAACAATTTATTCATTTTAGAAAAAAATGAGGTCTTACTTCAATGACATTTAAGTCATTATCATAACTGTCATCATCGATCATTTCATCTTCATGTGTCATTGAATTCAGATGACCAGACAAGTAATATTTATTTAATTCATCCTCTGTATATTCAAGTGTATCGTTATCATCATCGACAATATCGAACATGTCTTCGAAGTCTTCGACTGTATTCCACTATGAATAAAACAAAATATAATAAAGATATGACTATGTTCACATGAAAAAAAGAATTTCTCACTTACGTTTATATTTTCATTTACAGTTGATTGTTTATCTTTATTTGTTTCAGTCATCAATGGATTAGACAAGATTTTTTTTTAATATCTGAAATGAAGATCTAAAAACTTTTCTTCGTGTTTTTATGATATATTCATATGTTTATTAACTAATCTCTTTATTCAAGAACTTTTAACAAAATATCATTCAAATACACAATAACATTTCAAATTCTTTCTTTTTTTTTCTATTTGTTACACTCATTAGATATCTACTGATCAGCCAAGTCGAGAATATACTTTCTCGAAAATGATGGTGTTTAATGTTCCATGAATGTATGAATAGGTTTTTGTATTTTACCACTGAAATTCTGTAGTTTTTTTTAATACTTTTATTATCAAAAGTTTTGACAATTTGGGATTATTGAATATAATAAAACAATAATGCTTTTTATTAACCTCATCATCTTCATCCTAATCATCATCATCATCATCATCATCATCGTCATTATTATTATTATTGTTATTATGATCGACATGATGTTGTGTTTCTAGTCGATCTATATTAGGTAAATCACTAACATCAATCTCTTCTATATCACTGTCTTCAATATCCATGAGATAAACAATAAATAAATATAGAATAAATCTATTTAATCCTTCTGTATCAAATTCCATATGTTACTGATGATAGCTATCTGGAACCGAAACGAAATATAAAAATAGATTGTCAAAAGAATCAAATTTGAATTTATCTATCTTATAGCTATAATATCAAGTTTTACATGATTATATGTATCAATATCCAAGAGAAAAAAACAACAAGAAACAAACTAGAACATTAGAGTTATACAACAAATTATTGTTGTCGTTGGATGTTTGATAGGTCAAGGACCATACTAATTGGAAAGGATCGTCGAGTTCGTTGAAGATAAACTCGAATTGAATCTTCCAATTCAAATCTTAATTCATTATATAAGAATCTTTCATGTTGTTCAGAATGATCCATTCCAATATTAACCGGTCTATCTGACATGAACATGCCACCGTTACGTTGTTCAATATATTGCTAAAATAGAATAGAGAAAACATTCTTTCAATCATTTCAATTTACCACATCTGGTGCTTGTTGAAAATGTAGTGTATTTTGCAATAGAGTAGGATGATTTGTTAGCGTGATCAAAAAAATTTGATCGGTTTCATTTGTCGACTGTTGTGTCTGTGTTTGGTGTCCATGTGGTGAGGCCATTGATCAGAAACAATAATCTACAACATAGTTTCACATTTTATCGTAGGTCTATAGAAAAGCGTATAGAGACTAAAACAAGCAAATAATACAAGATAACATATATATATATATTTGCAAAACAAAACAAAACAAAAAGTGATGAGTTGTTGACTATTTTAATAATGTTTCAGTGACCAAGCCATTCCTTTCTCGTTTTATGTCAATGTCATTATTTGAATCTATTGTTTCATATAGATTCAATTTCATTTCGTACATGACAATCACATGAAAATATATAGTAATACACAAAACAACAAAACTAATAGACATGTTATGATTATTATTTAAGGATGTTGCTGTGGTGGTGGTGTGTGTGTGTGTATGTGTGTCAATATCAGACATATCAAATACATAATGAAGTGGATATTCTAGACGAGTCCGAGAAAGTCAATCGCGTACTGCCTCGTGTAATTCAATTCGTAGAACATCATTAAGCGATTCTTCACAAACATTAACAGCCTGATGATGATGATTACTTGTATGATTTTGAAGCGAAACCGTAGCATGTCTTGATTGTGCAACCTACAAAATGGTGATCATAGTTAAAATCAATGGACATATACTTGATGGTCGAGTATTATTCGGAGGCATTAATGAAAAGATTTAATGACCTAGAATATATATGAAATATATAGGTCTCCTATATATCATGTTATTGTTCTTTTTTTTTGAAAATTTTATTTTAATTCAAAACAATACGCTACAACAACACGGAGAGAGGAAAGCAGAGGAAGAATCACATTAAATTACTATTCCTCTTTGATTATTTTTTTGTGTAGATTTGTATTCTCAAGTGAACCCCTGTGATTCCATTCAATATACAACAAATGTTTTGCTAGTCACTATTGATACAGACTATTCGAATATTCTTCGATATTTGTTCAAATAAAAAGATATAAGGCATATAGTGAATATTATGAAACTTACATCGTACGTTAATTGTTTTGTGCTGTGATGAACAAACATATTTTGTTCGTGTGATAATAGATTAGTCATCATAAAAAAAATGATATTTCATCTAGAATACAAACTGACTAGTAGAAGAAACCATCAAATGAGACTGTCCGATAAGTTTTAGTCATCGATCAACAATGGATCTATTGTTGTTATTGAATCTCACATAATATTCATAGAAACTTAGTTTATTATTATAGAAAAAAATGTTTTTATACTATATCAGTAGGTTCCTTAATCGAAATAGCAACACTAAATCTTATTTCATTGCAATGTTCAATACTCCAACGCATGTTCACATCATATGCATATTGACGACCAGGACGTTGTATAAAGTCATTGATTACCTCTTTGAATCGATCGATTAATCCATTTTCAGCTAACATTTCATGATGCACCCATAACGGATGTGGTGAAACATTATTTATCGCAACGGCTCTTTCTATAGGATTATTATCACTATTGACATGTAAATGTTGTAATTGATTAGCTGATTGTGCAGTTTGTACTGTTGTTTGATGTTGTTCACTGTACTGGATCCCATTCAAATTCGTATCAGTCCATATCGATTCAAGATGGCATAGTTCTTGATAAGGACAACGACAAACTCTTGGTTGTGTTGATGGTGATGATATCAATTGTTGACCTGTATTTGACGATGAAACTGAAGATGGTACGATTGCTGCTGTTGACACTGACGCTGATGTTGACGACATTTCAAATGAAATATCGAGATAATCTAGAAACGGATATATCGAACAGTGAATTAAACAAGATTGTTTTCCAATTGGAAAATAATGTTGTCCATTCAACACTTCATGAAAGTGAGTGATAGGATTTTGTCGAACGATACAAAACATTTTTACACTTTGAATGTTTGATAGTCTTTACATTGCTTTATTTTTTTTTAAGTAAATAGATCGAAAAATGAACAATAACAACAAAAAGTCATCAAGTTATATATATATACATATATAACTATTTATGCTATACTCTTCGGTTGAGGTCGACGTAATAGTCCTTGGTACCATTCATCGCCTCGAATTAACCATGGACTATTCAATGGATAAGTATTACCAGTTGAATTCTTAT